AAAAAAGGTGAAACTGTACACAGAGGAAATGGCTGGGACTCTACAGAGACATGCACTGAAATAAGTTTTATTAATTAACATCCGGTAATTAACACATATGAGAATATGCAACGGTGAATGTATTCCAGGTCTGAGGCGCAGAAGTCACAGTATTTAACAAACACAAACTTTATGTTATGAAAAACTGTCATTTTAGTACAAACAGCCTGGAGCACACTAATTAAACATCACTGCATTATTATTCAGACACAAGCCGGTCGTGGGACGTTGTGGAGACGCGACAGGAAGCACCCCGAGGACGGGTGTAATACTCTGACTGACCAGCAGGTGGCACAGCTTCACCCTGCAGCGCCGGTGAGTCCTCAAGGATTCATTTAAGAAACTTTGATTACATTGTTCAGATTAGTGGTTATTATGAATTAAACTGTTGGCTGATGAGCAGAAAATTAATCAGACAACATTTTGTTAAGAGGAGACACAGCAGTACAATAAGTATTTAATTAATAGATATCAAACTTTTCCAGCTGATTACTTTCATTAAAACAATTATTATTTGTATTATGAGTCCTGTGACATTTTATGTTATGTAAGGTATAGTAATTGTATATTTACATAAATATATATATGCACTAATTTGTACAACACAAATCTGACTTTTGGATAAAATTTATTCATTCTTTTATACATCTGTTTTTTATATTTATGTATTTCTCTGCAAAGAAAACACTTCCAACAGTCCAAATGTATTTTCACTTTGTTTTTAGGGATAAAATGTTCTATTTATGAGGCCGTGAACCTTCAGAATATAGACGAGGATTAAACTGGAAGTGATGCTCAAGTGGAGACTCCTGACTGAAAAAAAACAGCTTATTTTCAGGAAACAGCCTTTTAAAGATTTGTTTCATGATACGTGTCTTAATAAATAATAATCATACACGTATATGAATTCCATACGTTATTATTGGAACCTTATTCTGAACCTTTTACAGGTAAAAGGTGTAACTAATAGATTAAACTTCCCCAGCAATAAAACAAACACTTGTTAAATGTAGTAAACAAATCTCCCTGACTAATTAAAATATTTGGTTTAAGATGGAACTGTCCCTACAAGATTAAATATGTAGCATGAATTTACCTGATCAATTAAAACACTAAAATAAATATCACCTAATATATCAATTAAGTTGACTAATTTAAATCTTAAGCACATGTTTCCTATACAAATTCACCCAATTAACTTAATTATTAACGTTTAGTCATTAAGATTGTCAACAAGCATTTTTTATTGTAACAATTATTTAGTCTCTTTTCTATTGAAAAATAAATAAAAATGATGTTTTCCCAGAAGCCAGCGCTCCAATTATTCCGCCGTCCTTCACCCACAGACGGCAGATTAATCAACTAATTGCTTCGGCTCTGATTTTGACTTATTGGGTCACACTTCAAATTAAATTGTCGTCATTTACTGTTAATGTGTTGGGCTGCCGCGAGCAATTAATTTAATTAACTGTATTTTCGTTTTCTCTTTCTTCAGGCTGGTGTGCATGAAGGAGGTTGTTTATCGTTTAAATGATCCAGACAGCGTCGCTCCTACTTCAGGTGGGCGTACCTCATCATGCAAGTTAAACGATGAGATGTAATACAAGAAAGTAAAAAAAAAAATACACAAGAGCTTTAACTTGGGTATTATTATGGGTATTTATTAAGCAATCTCTTCAACCACAGTCATGTTTATGGATCGAGTAGGCCTCGGATGTGAGAGGAATGCAGCTCTTAAAAACAAAACGGAAACAAAACAAAAAAAAAATCCCTAACGAGATTAATTTAAAACAAAAACACCATAGCCTTATATACAAGTGGATGGGGTGGGCATGTGCAAGAGGTGCGTGGGGGGGTTTCAGGGCGTGTATGATGATTGGTTGGTACAACAGGAGAATTTCTGGAGGCGGGGGGGCAAGAGGAGGGCAGGTGGAGGTGGGGCGGCTTTAGTACATGTAGCCTTTGGAGTAGGGCTGAGGGCCCATGTTTTGGGGGGCTTGTTCGGGGGTGTAGGGCACGCCCTCGTCCAGGTGCGACAGCGGCACCGTGTCCTCCTCGTTGACGTAGCGCTCGAACTCCGCCTTCAGGCTGGGCCGCTGATTGTCGGGGAAGGCCAGCGAGATGAGGGCCTCGGGCTCGCACACAAACTTGTAAACATAGCGCTCCCCGGCCACCTGGAAACGACGAAGGGAAACATGAGACGGGCGTCCGACACAAGTCTGTACGTAAAGCAGGTGTGTCGTTAAAGGTTGCGGTGAGAATTTTTTGAGGAAATTCTGTTTAGATACGACAGAAAGAAGAGAGGCTCTGTGATGTTTTCATGATGTTATGACATTTTATGAAATGAAAAATGCTTTATTTATCCCAGAAGGGAAATTCAATCTTGTAAAAGCTCACTTTTTTTTTTTTTTTAAATCAATATAACATATATTTATACAACAATAATAATAATCATTCATTTTATATTTATTTATTTATATATTTATTTCAATCATGACATTTTATTAACCCCACCGTGGGGACACTTGCAAACATTCAGGAAATATCACTAGAAAAAGTAAAGAATTCAAAAAGCATATTTTAATTGTCCAAATTGCTCTGGATGGAAAAAACTCTAAATTCTTTTAAGAGTAGAAATACTGACAGAGAAGTATTAATGCTGCACAGATTTGTCCACAAGTAGAAAAATAACGACTCTGCACATAAAATGCTGATATTTGTAGCTAATTATTAACTTTTTAAGGACCGACACCCAACTGAATCTAGATCACAGCAGCTTTGTGATGCTTTGACGATATTACAACCTTTACCTACAAAAAAGTAAACGTACTATTTTGAATTGTCCAAACTGCTCAGGATGGAAGGAACTATATCGTACAGATTCTTTTATGAGTAGAAATACCGACAGAGAAGTATTAATATTACACAGATTTGTCCGCAAGTAGAAAAATGCTAATAAAATGCTGATACTTGTAGTTATTTCTTCATTTTTCCGTGCTGTGACTGGTTCTACGGTGACTGTTCAGCTATTTAATCCTGCGGTGCTGCGAGTAATGAGTCTAGAAAATCAAAAATTTTCACTTTCTTAAATCTGTTCCAGCACATTCTGACTTGTTTAGATGTAGAAGTCCGCCGCCCAGCCAGTAAAACTACAACAACTGCTGCATGTAATCAATGTCAGGATCATTAAAGACACCAACACTGCATGACTGCTGCCACACGTTAGGTTTTAATTGCTGTAACATCGACTGCATGCAGGATGGATGTTGTATTGACGCTTCCTAAACAATCACAACCCAACAGCTGGACATAAACATCCAACGACAACCGGCAGGGAGTTAAAACAGCAGCAACTTCTCATAGAAATCAGACAGGAATGTGAAACCGGCCGCTGAAATCCTTCATTTAAATCACTTCCCAAAACCTAAGATGCATCTTTTTGTGTTAAATTCAGCAGAAAACGTGTGGTTTGAAGCCGGACATGGGCGAGTTATCGTCCTTATTTTTGCTCTATTTGCCTCCATATCGGTTCTTTCCACATGTAGAAAGCTCTGCGTATCATTTATTACTAGTAAACCCTCGTTTATAAGTCGTACCTACTGATTTTACGCGGTAATTAAACACGAGCATATGTTTTATGGATCGATTATCGGCCAATACGAACGACTACATTCGGGTGGAATGTGTTTTATTCTCCTCCCTCTTAGTTATTGTTCTTCCGCTCACAATCCAACTGATAAACTGCTAATCAACAGCTTCGGACTGTTAAAAATCACTATAAAAACCTCCCTTTGGCACACGGGGGAGGAGATAAAACCAGCTGCAGGGACTGTTCACGACCCGCCGGCCCAAACGTTGTTCTGATTATTGGTTTAAAAAAAACTGATCTGTGAAGAATTAGTGAAATAATTTAAAGCTTTTAGCTACGACTTAGGGAACAACTTTCTGTTTTAGTTGCTGGTGGGTGGTGCTGGACTGCATTACGTTCAAAAGTAGTGATATTTTTGCACCTTTATGGATGTTAACGGGGTGGACAAAATATTAGAAACCCTCTTAAATGTAACTTAATCCACTACACCTCCTCAATAAGGTAGAATTCAATCAAGTCACTGTTACTCAAATAGCACATTTACAACAAGAGATGTTTTAAATGTAAACTTTCCTGTAGAAAACTTAATGCAGAAAAAGATGCTTTGAGTCATTTAGAAACTGTCATCACACAGCAGCTCCTTTGTTTGCTGTCAGCTCAGTCTGCAGCACATGTAGCAGAGCACACAGCTGAGCAGACGGTGGTGCCGAGTCAACCGGTGTCTTTACATTAAAGGACGAACTAATTTGTGATTTACAGTGCTTAAAAGTTAATCAACATATATAAACAATATCAGAATTTCTGACTACTGAAAGCCCTAAAAGTCCACCATCGGTCAGGCTTTAATTACTAGTAATTATTTTTTAAAACATTGTGATTTATGATGAGAAGTTCCTCAGTAATGTAAATATTAAAGGTTAAAACCCGACAAAATTTGATAAAATACTCATTTAAGAGGCTAAATTACACAGTATGGTCTTACACTGTTATTGTTATGCAAGTTTACCTGACTAGTTTATCTGTCTGATAAAGTCTCTAAGATTTGGTACCATTAAAATGTTTAAAGTGAACCTTATATGTTTATCGAAGACACACTTCAGCAAACAGGTTAGAATGCAAGTTAAATGTAGGACTTTAGGGCTGCAGAAATTAAATAATTTCAATGCAGGGTTTTGCAATTTCAAGCCTGGCATGAAAGTCACTTTAAGACACTTTAATGGTGTGTTGTGGGAGTTTTAAATCCATTACGTAGTGAATTTTGAACCGAAGCAGCTTAAAAAACACCCAACAGTCAGAAAAATCTACGCAAAATTAGATGTTTTCCTCAAATTGTTGAGCTTAAACCGACAAGTTCTGTGAGTCTTCTGCGTGTGGAGTTTGCATGTTTTGTACCTTTTGCATGATTCCCTTCTCGTAGTAGTAGCGCAGAGAGCGGCTGAGCTTGTCGTAGTTCATGGCTGGACGGTTCTTCTGCATCCCCCACAGCCTGGCCACCTGAGCGAGGAAGGAAACCCAGTCACACCTCTGAAAATAAAGCTTAGCGGGCCAAGTTTTGGTCCCTAAAACAATAAATCAGGTGATTGTAACTCTGCTGTGCGGCCACTAGGGGTCCTCGTTGACGAGCCGAACCGCCCGGCGCTCTTTAAATTCAACTGTGTCAACATGCCAAGACCAGGGCGAGTCCCCACATGTGGATTCACTTCCTTTTTATGTAACCCATTACCACTTGAATGCAACCAGAGTCCCACAGTGTTTGCAGTGAAATAGGAGTCGGTGAAATACAGCTCCGGCCCAAAAAAAAAGAAAAAAAAGCTCCGCTGATAAAGGAGCCACCACCTCTGATGGAGAATGAATGTCCCCCACAACAAGCCCACACAGGCTGCCGGGAGGTAAATCAGGGCGTCCTGCAGCAGCAGCGGCTCAGCTTGACTAACATGTTGGGGAGAAGCTGTAAAAGTTGGGGGAAGGGAGGCGCTCGGATCCATGACTCAGGGAGACAGGTTGGATCCCACAGCAGCCCCGTTTGATCCCTGAGTGAGCTCTCAGCCCTAATTGCTCTTGTAAAAAAAAACTCTCATTCATTTTTAATGTACAGTAAAAAGATAATGGAAAAGCACGATATAGGCTGGTCCATATTCCGCCCTAAATGGACGCCGTCTGATACGGTGGGGGGGGGGGACGGCGATCAAACTGCAGACTTAAACATCGCGAAAACGTCTCGACTGGAGAAACGCGAGGAGGCGAGAGGCAGAGCGGGACGGGGGTGTTGGATGTTTCCGCGATAGCGCTCGTCCTTCATTTATCAATCCGGCGTTTCATGTGTTGAATAATGAATGGGGGGCGACTAATGGAAGACGGATCAGAGAATAGAGCAGCGAGGAAAGTGGCCAAATCCCACTCCTGATCGCTGTAATCTAGGTAGCACCTTCAAAACCCCCGTAAGCTCCTTCCAAGAATAACTTGGCCCTTATCGCATTTATATTAATGTCAGGATCTTTATCAACACGATCCTCTATCTGTGGACGTACAGTAATGGGCTGATGCTGATGCCTTCTAAATTATGTATCTGCCTCTCTCTAAACATTTAAAGTGATATTATTACTACTGAGCAAGCAGCAGCCAAAAAAAGGCCTTTAAAAGCTGCAGCATCATCAGCTGATGAGTCCTCCAAGTCAATAAAAAAAGAGAAATAATCACTATTTACGACTTGGTTCGCTTTCCAAAAACATTCAGGACTCAATATCTGACCAGTTTAATGAAAAGATCCTAATTAAAGCATCGAAATCAGGGTTGGATGTCGTTTATGTCGTCATGTTTCTGCTCATCGATCAGTATTTATTTTGATTTGTTCTTTGAGTTGCAGTAAAATCCAGCGTTTACAACAAGTAGGTTGATGAAGTAAGAGTACTTTCAGTAGATTTCCCTGATTATACCTATTTAAGTTATATTTTCACTGCAGGACTTTCACCTAAGTAGAGTTTTTCCTCTCCGTCTATCAAGGTAAACAAACATTTCATCATAATTACATGAATTAATACAGTTAGTTTGTTTTTCGGTGGTGATGTGAGAGTGGAGTTCCAGCATGCATCTCTGCGCAATTAACCAAAATATTGTCGCAATACAGCAAAGCGCAACATCCAAATTGCAGGATCTGCTATATTTAAGCATAAACATACAGTTATAAACGAGGCGTCGTGGCGCGACGGAGACGCCCGACCACATAAATCACTCTCCACATATAAGGAAACATGCTCTTTTTTTTTTTTTGGTGCAGACTAAAGCAAGAATCATTGTTTTTATATTGAATTCACTGATGTTACAGTTAATATGATTATTTATTTTGCTTATTGTTTGGTCCTACCTGCATGTTTCGCAGCTACGGTTGTAAAGTGTTGCAGCAAAATGACTGTATTCAGCCTTAATGAGAGTCAATAAGCAGAAAAGTTACTGAAAATCTGTCAGAGAAGACAAATAAAGAGTTGCTGATGGTGTAATTTTGCTGCCTACAACAGTTGAATGTTAGCAGCACAACTACGTGAACTAATCTTTCATATCATCGTGACTATTTTCGGGTTTATTCTGGCTACTTTACTGTCGTGAAATCCGGGTCCAACCATAGGGCTGGTCCGAATAGCAATTTCTGATCTCCGGACATTCGGTCCCAATTAATGACGAATATTCAGAATATTCGGGGGCGGCGACGGCTCTGTTTCCGCGGTGGCGGGGATATTCGGAGATCAAGTTTGATGTCCCGATTCCAGCACAGCGAACGAAGAGTCGGCTATTCGGGTCCAGCCCGAGTCCTACCACAAACTTATAAACCGTTTTGTGGCAGCGTTTGTTAAATTAATTTTCGTTTACCTTCTAATCGAGCAGCTCAGAAATGCCTGATTTACGCTAAACTCACGATTTACTTCAGACAAAGGCGTTAGGAGACGGGAAGGACTCGTTGGGCAGCAGGTCATATCTACGGTACGAGGACAGTAGTGCACGTCCTCAGCAGTACCGTCGATGCATAAAAAGCATGCAGCCCTACATTAGTGTCTAATGGTGCAGATGGATGTCCAGGTCCATGTGGATGAAGGGTAGGGGTTATAAAGCAGTGCGAGTGAAATGTGTTCGGTAGCCGACTCGATAAGCAGATTAAAAATTGAAATTTCTTAACGATTCCTCTAAGAATCTGAGTTTCTCCAATCAGAGAGCTCCTTGGACAGCCTCTGCCTCCATCTAAGGTCACCGATGATCACGCAGAAAACATGAAAGCATCAGGAGACAAAGCACCTCAAGTTTCCCCCACCAGCATCGACTCTAAACCGCTATAACTCCAGACGTACCTCCTCGGGCTCGATGAGTTTGAACTCCATGCCGCGGCCGGTCCAGGCGATGAAGTGGGCGTTGCCGGGGTCGTCCAGGAGGGCAACCAGGAACTGCCAGAGCTGCAAAGAGCCGCGGCGCTGGTAAGGCGTGCCCTCGCGAAAAACGCCGCCCCCTTCCTGCTTCACCTCACCTGCACGAGAAACCGAGGAGACGCACTTTTAGGGTCACATGCTTTTACGTCTGCCACAGATGTTCTGGAAGGTTCTGAACGCGTTGCCTTGGTTGCTCGGCGGTTAATCTCCAGCCAAGTTCATGCGATATTTGATACATTTTCAGCGCAATAATGCATCAGACCATTAAGATTCAATCATTAAATTATGGCCTAAGTGCTTCTTACATTACATATACAAACTTTGACTCATAACAGCTGAAAAATATAATAATGCGTCCAGCACGTCGACGGGTCAACCGATCTGTACGACTGCACACTAAACTGAAATCCTTGTTATCGAGGGAAGGCTCGATGTGTTCAGTCAGAAGATTAAACTAAAGGTCACACGGTGCGCACTGGTAGAAATAAAGAACATGACGTTTAGGAAACACTGTGTTTTAAAACAGTTTTAAAACATTAAAGCTGTCATTTTACAGCCACACGCTGCAAAAGAATAAATTAATATTTGTAAAAGTAAAGATGACTGATTATTGGCTCGTGTTGTTTCTTTCACAAAACATTTCAATTAATACTTTTTCTGCCATTTTAGTAGATATTACCTCTAAAGTAATCTTTAATTCACACAATTTTACTTTCAAGTTAAAGGCAGATTTCTGTAAAATAGCATTTTTTGCCAATTTAAAAACAGCAAAACAATTTTAGCGCCAAACATCGATTGAATTACCGTGTTGATGTGGAAATTATTTACTTGTCAACATGTAAATAAAAGCTTTTTTTCTGGGATTTTACTAAATATTATCTGTAAAACAACAGTTTTAAATGTCTTCACGAGTTCTGAATCCTTAATAAACAGAACTTTCCAATAAAATAATGGCAAATGTGTGTAAAAGAATATTTTTTGCTGATTCAAATACAGTAAAAATTGTGTAATTAGATGTTGAATGCATGACCAGATTTGTGGCCATTAAGTACAGTTTTGGTCTATTTTTGTTTATATATATATAAATAAATAGTTAACAAGTAAATTATTACTTTTTTGTGATTGTACCTGATCTTATCTGTAATTAAACAAAACGGAAAATCTGTTTAGAAAAAAAAGTTTTAAACAATTAATATGCAAAATATGAAAAAAAATGTTTACGGCTAATTTAAATTTAAAAATGTATAATTTAATGGTCACATATTATAAAAGAACATAACTATTTGTAAAAATACAGATTTTGGGGTGTAGTTTTTGCCTGTTTTGTTTTTAAACGTATCTGTAATTTAACAAAACAGGCAGTAAACTGATGGAAACTGCAGCTCGAAACCTTCATTTTTACCAGTGCAGAAATAAAAGCAACCCTGAGTGATGCAACAAGCAGGTAAACGGACACTGATTCGTGTTTGGTTCTCGGTTGTTTACCGGTCACCCGATACCTCGTACACAAGTGTGGGAACACGAGAAGCACAGCTAAGTTACCGCTGCCGAGCACTCGCACACTTCACCGGTTCAACCAGTGCCGACGCCCTCGGGTTCTTCACTCAATCTCCTTTAGCGTCAGCGAGCAGCAGCAGCATCACGAGGAAACCAAACCCACCGGCCGAGAACCCTCAACACAAGCAGCTCTGATGTCCACAACGTGACGTCGGGTACAGAGAGCGGAGAGCGTGCACGCCTCGCTGGGCCGGGCCGGGCATTGAAAGTGTGAATGCAGAGGGATTATGGGTAGGCGGGCTCACCTTCGAACTTCTCTGGAACCACGCGGGAGTCATTTTCAAACAGATAGCCTGAGAGACAAGGGGAGAATTGTGTTAGAGCTTCAAGTGGCCTTGATCCTCGCTGCTCATTTGGGATCAGTGCCAAGCTGTGAATACACCAACATACAAGGATCCACTCACGCATGAATAACATTAAGCCAATAAGTGTGCACTCTTCTTTTACTGGAGTTTACTGGAGCACTTCAGGGATTTCATGTGAAAGGGACTCGAATCTTTGCTCCCAAGACCTCTGAACTCCTCCCTAGCGTCCTTCAGGCCTTTAAACGTCTCCTGTCGGCTTCAATACGCTTAAAATAATTGAACAAGAATTTAAATTACCCAAAACAGTCCCGCAAACAATGGGAGAGAAGGGAGGGATTGTTTTCCTTTTTGCTGGGGAAATAGTGTGCTTTTTTCCAGGAGTTATGTTTATTCAGGGATTCTTGAGGCAGGGGTGAGGCGAGAGCCTCTGCCAATGGAAACATAGACACACCACCGGTTAGCCAATGGAAACAGGGACGCTGTACGCCGGTTAGCCAATGACCGCAGAGCTCGAATCAGCGAAGGCTCGATGCAGATAAAGAAGTGGAGGAGGCTGGGTCCATGCAGCACTGATATCACTGTGAATCCTTCGACTGTCCAACAACAATAATTTGGCAAAAAGCCTTTGAAGCTGGTGTGGGTAGGAATCTGGAAATGGCGTTTAACTTTGGGAATACAGTCCTCCTGCTGCAGCCCTCTGGTTTCTGTCCTAAATGAAAACATCCTGATCGAGGTTTTTTTTGCCACCGATGTCATTTATTTTTCGGTATCGGTTGATTTCTAGAGACGAGGTGGGCAGTTCTGTGTCGGCGAGCAGAGAGCATTGGAGGATTTTAGCGAGTAAAGGGGCACCGTGACAAAGTCTGCCGTGATGCTTAACGACCTCCAGCTGGTGTACGTCAAATTGGAATAATGTTCAATAATTTTTCATACAAATGAATCAGTTATTTATGGATTACGTCTGTAGCGTGATCGGGTTTAGGTTCATAAAAGTTGCTTGTGTCAAACCTGCTCCTAAAACCCTTCCATCAAACATTTTTAGATGTTTTTATCGACCAAACAACTAAATGAGAAAGTAGCTGATGGATTATGTGACAGCGAAAATAATCGTTGGTTGCGACCCTGATTAAAAGTGAAGAACTCAACATGCTGACTGGCTTTTGGGCGGGACATTGCTAAAGACAGAGCCAAACTAGAGCATTTTTAAATTCAGTTATTTTATTGGTAATTGGTTTTAAAAGAATACAGACACCACAAATCAGAAAAATGCTATGTACCGGATCTGAAAGATGCTCGACCGTAGTCCATGCTACCACTGTTTTCTAACATCTGGAGGAACGTGTATCTGCATCTATTTAACAGCCAATAGGAACGACACAGTTTCTCCGAAAAGGCCTGTCATTGGTTAAAGTCTCTTGGCTAAATTTTCTAAAACCAGAAAACAGTCGCTAAGAGATGCAGATGTCTAGTTTCCTCTGGGACCATTTGAGCTGTAGCATGTTTGATGGGGGGTTTTTTTGGAACTTTTTCACCACGTGGCAAAAACATACAACAGCTTTGATGTGCAGAACGTGAAGGTTTATACCGATAAATCGATTAGAAAATGCAAAAAATTCACCTTCATTGCTGTGCTGGGGGTTTGGGTAGCCCTCACTGTGGTGGTACATGGAGGGACATCCAGGCACATCTGTAACGGAAACAGTTGAGGAAATGTTTCATTACATTGACTTTTAGGTTTATAAACAGAGTGGATGCGTTAACTGTGCATGAAGCTGATTTTAGGTGGTGACTGATCAGAGTTTCTGCTTCCCAAAGCAACATCGCTATGAGTCGTATTATATGGATATACTGTGCGATTGTGTGATCACTGCAAGGACAAACTCTGCATTTATCATATCGCTTCTCTTGTCTCTGCCGGTATTTTTAGGCCATGAGCAAGCACCTTCACCAGACCAGAAAAGTGGTACAGTATACAGTGTCTGCACTTTGTCTGGGCACATCAGCCACTGACTCAAATAGCTGGAATAGATTTTTTCGTACCGGTTCTCAAGAGGCTCCGAGCGAAATCCTCTGCAAGTTGGGACACTTTGTGGAGCACATTTAATACGTCGTGATGCGAGAGCATTGTTGCTGCGTATCCTGTGACTGCCCTGCTCACCTTTGTGTCTGGGCTTTTCTTCAGCGCACAAACAAAACGGTGACTCACGTACTCTCCTCCAGTGTGTTTGTCTGTTTTTGTGCCGTCTGTCAACTGTATCAATGAGGCTGGCGAGTTCATGAAAACTGAAAGGTGCAGCTCTTCGCCTGTGGCTCCCGCCGTGACTCACTCGCGGGGAATGCAGCTGCAGAGCGGCGCTGCGATAAGATGCCACTGGGGAAAATCAAACCCTCCATTCCAGGGCAGCAGCACTCGATCATACTGTAAATAATACGTCTGGCCGGCTCCCACCGGGGCAGCGACGGGCGAGATTGGGTGTGAGAGCACCGGGGTTAATTGTGTACCGAGTGGCACGACCATTTTGTGTCTTTCAGACGACACAATAGCAGTGATTAAGCGATGGAATGCCAGTTTGTATGTGAAACTAGGAGCCTCCTTCTCTAACCCTGCTTTTAAAACGGGACCGTAGACTTGTGGCATCCGTCTGTCATTGTTCGCATTGTTGAGAGAAAGCGCCGGCTGCGTTGTCTTTACACGCCGTTTGCTTTAATGCGCCTCCTTTGTGTGCCCAATTACTTCTTACGTGATCGTGACCTTACAGCTCTGGGATGGAACCGAAATCAGGTTACAATAACAGAAACCGGTCCGGGTTTTGTTTACAGGAAGCATCAAATTAAAAGCTCTTTAATATAATTATGATGTAATAATTATTAATTATTATTCAATTAACTAGCAACGCCAGACTTGAAAGCTATATAAACTCTTAAAAATGGGCAAAATTTCACCATTAATAAGAGAAAAATTGGGAGATTTTTACCATTTCAAACGGTACTTGAACAAATCGTGTGTGATGTGTCGTTCTGTAAGCTTAAAATCTTTATATTTTTATTTAAAAGCACTTTATTCTACATGTTTGATCTTGAAATTTTACCAAAAATACTCATGAGATTCGTTTTAAAAAAAAAACAAAAAAAAAACTTGAAGCCATCTGTCACATGACAAAAAAAAACTGCAATATTTCGGCTGAACTGCAGGTTGTGTTTACACGGAGCAGATAGTAGACACGTATGGAAGCAAATTAGAGCCACTGAGAGAAAAATTGAATGCATGCTGCAGTTATTTTATTACTTTAGTAAGTAATAAAATAACTGCAGCATGCTTCAAAAACAGTGAACAGAGGAGCAAGCTGCTGGACGATACATTCAACGTGGTGAAACATCTTAAAGAGCTGATACCTAGTTTGTGGAGGTAGTTAAAAAAATGTTAAATATATGTAATATGTAGAGCTGCTATTTCTTTTTTCGAGCTCTGGTAACTGCTGTAGACGCTGTAACTACACTGTACACAAGTGCTTTTTCATTTTTGCTAAGTAAATTGAAGAAATGTAACTTTAGTTTTTTACGACTTAGAGCATTATAACTGCGTCACAGTGCATCAAAGTCACTTCTGAATTCTCTCTCCTTCTAGCCATGGTTGTGTTGTTTCCATAGAGGTGCAGGACTTTATACTACAGTAAAAAATGAACCCACAGTGATGCAACCACAGCAAAGAAGCTGCTCAGCATTCGGAGGGTTAAATGGTAGCAGACTGACGTTTCTCACTTCTGCGGATGTTTTTAATTGGATTTTTAGGACTACCGGGAATCGTAACTCTTTAACAAATGTGTGTTTTTATTTATAACTTCTGCTGAAACCAGCCTTTCTACGCTGTACATTAAGGAAGTCAAGATGTCTCCTTTTTACTGTCTGACTGATAAACTCTGATCTTTTCCCGATGAAACTCATATCAGAGACGCTTTTGAGGAAACTCCACCAAACTTCTCCTCGGTTATCCGCAGAAAAACATCCTTTTGTGCCTCGTTCTTTTTCCAGGTTGTTGCTACAAAAACAGTGAGTGTGCTGTTTTTTTTTTATTTGCATTAGATTTTAGCTTCGTCCACTGATGTTGGTGCACGACCTGCAGGCAATCTGCAGCAGCTTTTAGGACGGACGTGTTTCTCTCTGTGCTTGTTTTAAATTCAGAGCTGCTCTCTGTGCTCACCGCTGGTAGAGCTTGTTGTTAAACCTCCTGAGCTTCTACCCCACCCCAGCCTCCCCATTTACCCTCCTACCTACCACCCCCCCCTTCACCCTCTCCCAAAGCCCAGCCAGTGAGAGGTTCGAGTTACTGCGGCCACGCTCATTTTTCCATTATGAGTTCATCTGCCTGCAGAAAAAGGAAGCCGCTGGTGCAACCTGAAACCCTGGAGCACTCCACCAGGGACTCTAGTCTTTCCAGTGCCCTCCATTTTCTCAATGAAATTCCTCTGCCTCTCTCTCTCTCTCTCTCACAGAGGAGGAGGAGGAGGAGGAGGAGGAAGGAGGGAGGAGTGTAGCTGCAGCAGAGAAAAAACATTTTTTTTTAAGTGTCAGAGAGTTGAAAGGAGGAGTTTTGGAGGCTGAGCTGGGTAGGAGTCTGCATACAGTGGAGAAGTTTGTTTGCCTTTTGGACATTTTGTTCTAGGGTTAGCGACGCACACCGGGGAGGGTTTTTTTTTTCCCCTCGTTAAGGGACATTTTCGAAGCGGTGCCAAATGATAGTTAAGAGATAAACTGTCAGGATGTTAGTTCACGGACTGCTCTCACCGCTTTTATACGTGGAAATGTGATTTTAAAACACATTTAACCCGTATTTCTCACTTCTTCACTGCAATCCAAAGCAGAAAAAACTTGCCACGAGGCTCACTTTATTGTAACACGACACCCTCTGTAACCTTGAGAGTTAATTGAATATTCGATATAAGTCAATAAAGTGTCCATTCAGTCACAAGAGAACTGGTAATGGTTCTGCTAACAAGAATATCATGTCCTACGTTTGCTGGTTCAACCCTCGTTTTCTCTGATTCCTGTCACAGTTTATTAGCATCTTGCTGCATCTTTTTCACATTAATGTTTAGACAGAACAGGCAGGGAGGATGGAGCTCTCACGGAGAATAGGAAGTGATTCCTTTTTAGATTTTAATTAACCAGAAATGTTCTTGCTCCAGTCCTCCAGTGACTAATCGTGCAGCTAAAGATGACAAAAGTCTGACAAACAAGACTGACAGAAAGCTAACTGTCAGCAAATCACTTTCCAAGTCATTCATAAACCTGAGAGAGACGCACATTCTCTGTTTTCAGCTTTTTAGATGCAAAAAGGTTTATGCTTTCCTGTTTTACGTTTAGAAATATTCATCATCTCTGGATTTTGGACAGTCTGACGGTTTAAAAACAAGGAACAGATCTGCAATTAATGATCATTCTCACTGTTGAGTCATATTTGTGTCGTTGTTTGGTCTATAAAATGTCAGAAAATGGTGAAAAATGCAGATCAGTCTTTACCACGGGTCAAAATGACATCCGATGCAGATGTTGTGTTTTGTCTACAGCACAAAGATGTTCAGTTTACTGCTGAAGAGGAGTAAAGACACCAGAAAACATTCAGATTTAAGAAGCTGAAATCATAGAAATGTGACTTTTTTAATTACTTAAAATAATTAAACTGCATTACTCTGATTTCTCCACTGTTCAGACGTATCTTAGGACCATCGACTAATAGATCTGAGTCACCTTAGATCTATTAGTCTCAAACATATTTCTAGTTTTAATCCTACACTGACACAGGCTGCAAGTTATGTCGATTATTTTCTCATTTAATCATGAAAAATGTAAATCAGTGTTTCCCAAAGCCTCCAGAAAGGTCTTGTTTTGTCCACAACCTGTCATTAAGGTGGAATAAAACCAGAAAACATTCATATATAAGAAGCTGAATCAGAGAATTTACATCATTTGTCCTCTTTAAAAAAAAAAAAGTTTCCCAAATTGATTCATTTAATAGCTGATCATTTTGTTTGTTGGAATTAAAACCACAGAAACACAAAACAACAGTTGACATGAACATCGGTGTGCTCGGCTCACCAGGTTCGTAGGTGTAGTCTGTGGGCTCCTGCTTCACCATCATGTGGGCTGGTGGGAACCGGTGTGGGTGTGAGTGCGGGTGTGGGTGAGGGTGGGGGTGAGGTCCCTGTCCTCCCCCGTGTCCCGGCCCGGCCATGTGAGCCGCCCGCTCGTACAGCGGGTCCAGGTATTCTTGCTTAAAGCTCTGCTGCAGGTAGGGCATGCAGGGGTCGGAGTGCTGCCGATGGTAACCACCTCCACCACCGCCTCCGCCTCCACCTCCACCCCCAGGACCTCCGCCGCCTCCCGCACCACCTCCACCGCTGCCAGCCGGGGCAGAAGGCATCCGCTGAAAGGCCTGCCCTGGCGGGGGGAACTGGGGGCACATGGGGTCTCCTGAAGCACCCTGAAACCTGGAACTGAGAAACCAGACACAAACGCTCAGTTCGGGATCTCAGTCGATAAAAATGTGCAACTGGATATGCTGAGTCCCTGCTGCCGGGGTTTTGCGTGCCGTGTCACCTGGCGCTGATGGGGTAGCTGTTGCTGGGGAGCGGCTGGGAGGTGGCAGCAGGGTTCATGTAGCCAGCGTCGGGCCGTCCGGCCGTGGCGGGCTTTGGGGAGTAATGCTGCTGCATTGGAGACATGGGGGTCCCTGGGCAGGAGCTCTTCGCTCCACCCGCAGCCCTTTTCTGCTCATAGGCACTGTGGAAAAACACACGTATGGCATGAAAACACGTCTCGGCAGTCAAACCAGACAGCAGCTTTCTCTCCCAGTCAATACAACAAACATTTTACGGGGGTTTCGTCAATAACGTGTGGTCAGAGTTTCAGCTGCGTCGGCTTATTCAGCGCTGGGTCGTCGTACAAACCGATGTTGTAGAGATAAAATCACTGTCTCATTTATTCTGCCTTTGGTAACAGTGGATGTCAGTAAATGTGCGGGGAGACAATGAATCATCCTTTTGAGCCTCCCGAGAGTTCGGCTTCCACTTTAATGCAATGGAGGTAAATGGAATTGCAATTATCGGTGCTAAAAGCATTAAAACATGATGTTCATAGTTCCTCGGCAACGTGTCTTTCCAGGAACAATGTCCTGGTTAATCTGGATAACTCGGTGTGGAACGTTCTCTGCTTCCTAATGAAGAAAGGGTCCCTCTGAAATATGTGTTTTCTGGATTATCCAGAGGAAGCCGTTTCTGGAAAAAGGAGGCAGTGGTTTTCCGTGGGATTGAATTCCCCTTTGTACTGAGGTGGATGCAGAAATCCCAAAGGTGCGTTACAAAACCAAGAATATCTGCATGGCTGCTCACCGCTGAAGGTACATGGAAAAAGTATGGTTTCGTTTGCTGGCAGTGATGCTTGAGTACACCATCAGTGTAGGATGACCTTCAGGCTACATCCACACTAGTATGTTTTAGAACCAGATGAGCGCTGTAGCACTGATTCAGAAATATTTGTAGTGCATATTGAGGCACAGAAAATTAATAAGGGTGACTGCATTTTCAAATTAAAACTCCTTTCCAAAAGTCTCTGTTGTAGGAGTCGTAAACACAGCAAATTTTGTGCACTCCCATGTAGTGAAAATCCATTTTTGTTGAGTTTTTTTATGTCTTAAAAACCTGGAGTTAAAAAATAAAAGCTGCAAGAATGAGAAGACACTTACTACCTCCATTCATCCAGCTTCCTTCAACTAAACAACCTCCCAGCTTTACAAGAAATGTGTTCTGTTGGTAAATAGAAACCAAAGAACCAATAATCGTCACCTCAGTGTCATTATTTACATTCTAAAGCTGCTTATTTTAACTCTAAAATGTCTGAGCTGCGACCAAAACACACCAAACGTTCTGCTGTTGGCCGCAAGAGCGAACACAAGAGTCTTCATGCACTCCCAGCATCTGAGGAGCTAAAGACCCAGCAGATCGCTTTTATTATCGGTGGTAGTGTCTCACAACAAAAGGACAATCCTTAGTGTTATGTGTTAATGTGTGGCATACGTTACTATTAGCAGAGGGACATTTAGAGATGTTGTAAACTTTAGGCGCGATTGTAAACCAGCAATCAAGTACTGGGTATATTATATAGTGCGTTTCCATGTTGCCTGTTCTGTTAGCTTGACTCCTGCTCTCTGTGCTCACATAAACTACATTTTAATGCATCTGAATTCCCAATAAAGCTGCCCTCAGTGACGTAGTTCTCAGACAACAGAGCGAGTATGAGATATCAATTGAACCAATAACATGACTTGTTAACCAGGAGTCACTTCAGAGTCGTGTCTTAGCTACAGCTCTGCAGATAAAATGCTGATTTTATAACAACATAGCAGCATCGTCTGACGCACTCCTCGTCCAAACAACAAACATTTCCTGTCATAACATATAGAATGGTTCCTTAGAGCAACAGTTGGAAGCAATAGGAAGTCGTGGACATTCATATCTGTGTAGCTGCCAATTGTTTTGCTGTCAGACGCAGAGAGAGTGTTCTTCCTGAAGGGGAGCAGCTCAACTGAATTTAAAGTGTTAGTCACTGAAACAGTGTGTTTACATCGACTAGAGGCTCCACAGACACGGTGAAACGAACCATCTTTGTTGCATTTTGAGCTAAACAATTAAAAGACACATTCCGGGGACATGTGAGGCTTATTATTTTTGCAGAAAAGGGGCACCACATGTGACCTTTAAAACAAACAAACAGCAGCATTATTGTGGATGCAGCGTCAGCGAGGAGAAGCTGGAGGTACCTGGCATAAAGGCACTGCTCTCCACTGGGGTAGCTGAAGGTCTGCTTGTGGCTACAGGACTGGCTGGGGTCGGAGCCCGGGCTCTGCGGCTCCTTCTTGATAGTGACTGGAGGGCTGTGAAATGCCACCGCTACGAGAGAACACACAAAGCAGAGATGAGGGTTGGCGCACACACACACACAACACAACACGACACACAGCGATTGTTGGTACGTCCTTTTGTGATGCAGCCCTGCCCCGATACTGCTGTCATTAAGCTTAAAGGCAAAAGCAAATTCTTCTGTCGGCACAGGAATCTCCTCTACGTGCCAGCCAAAATGCTTAAGTGACTGTCAAGTGCAAAACACGGGGCAGCAGACAGACGCGTATAAACACACACTTCCACCAACACAAAAAAAGACACACACATGCTCACACACGACTGCATTCCTGCAGCCGTTTGGAAGCCCGGAGCGTCCTCGCCCACTTTTCTTCGCTCTTCCAGACACAACAGCAGCCAAAACTTCCTCTGTCAAAGTCCAGCTTAAAGCTAAACAACCGGGAAGTCTTGATGAAAGTGCACGTCACACGTTTTGTTGGGTTGACGCAGATTCTTTCCGACCACATGTTTGCAATTTCTTTCTACCTTTGAGTTAATAGATTTTTAAAAAAAGAAAAAAAAGAATGACAACCCTGATAATGCTCCTAAAAAAGCTTCAACTCAGCGAACTGTCCATCAAGCTGGACTGCTGGAGGGGACCTTTTGCCTTGATGGCCACAGAAACCACCCAAAGTGGAGCTTCAAACTGCGCCGAGGGCTTGTGTTTATTATGTGAGGGGAGGTTTTCACCCGGAGAACTGTACAGGATGTTTTTCTGGTCCCGACAGGGTAAACAGCAGCAGCTGTGCACTTCCAGCTGGGGAGGCATGTATTTATGTGTGTGTGTGTGTGTGTGTATAAGAACACTCGGCGAGAATATGTGTGTGCACAGGAAAAAAAAAAAAAAAAGGAGTGTGTGTGTGTTTCTGCAGTGGGTGTGGAGCTGACGGCCACACTGAAAGCTCACCCCAGGTAATTACATAGTGTCGTCCATTCACAAAAAGACGAGGAGGGAAAAAAAAAAAAAACACGTCTGGCTGACTGAATGAAGTGACGGTTCCACCAAGACGAGAGAGTAAAAAGGAAAGTAGCGCGAACACAAAGCGAGCAAAGATTACAGCACGAACCGCAAACAACGTTAAGGAGTGGCACCTGAACGCTCAAAAACTGGCTGCTCGTTAGGAATTTAATAAAACACCGAGATTTAAACGGTTTCGTTAACGGCCGGCGCAATGAGTCAATCAACAAAAATTTAGAACTAAAAACATCATAAACTGGCAATTGATCGTGTAATTTATTAGGTATAAAAGCCAAACATCCACCTGATGTTGTTTAATCTGCTTTGGATTATTGCACATTAACCCTCTGAATGCCAAACGGTTTTTTTGGGTTTTTTTAGCTGCTGCCACATTTTTCCTCACTTTAATATGAAGTCCTGCACATTTATGGTAACAGATCAACCACAGCTAGAAGGAGAGAAACTCAAAGGTGTCCTCTGTGCAGAATTATCAATTTCACCGGTCACAAATCATAAAATAGAAAATGCAAATTCCTTTGATTATTTATTTTGCAAAAAAATATTCAAAGTGTGCAACATTTTGTGCCCACAAGTGCTACCAGCACTGTGGCCCCACACATTATAGATGTTATTAACGCAGGTTTATATTTTTACACGTCTTTGCTTATCTCCTCTGTGTAAACCCTGCCTGCAGCTCAGCCCAAAAGTCTCTGAAGTTTTGTCACGTGACTTTTACTTGTCGCTAAATCAATAGTGCCTGATGCGCCAAGCAGTGAAGAATTTCTTGTTTTTGACACAATCTGTTTACTGCAAACTATTTATTTTTGGCAATTGTTTTTTAAACCAGACAAAGATTTTAATGAAATATTACGATTTTCAGCTAAGATTTGGTGAATCTTTCTGATGGAACCACACGTCTCACGGGGCCAGTTCAAGGACCATCCTTCTGGCTCGGACAAATGGTGTAATTTGGGCATTTTTTAAAAAACACTTTTGCCATTCAAACCCAAGGTTCAGTTTAATTGGTACATTTTGCAGCCCTAGATTCATTTTCTTCTCCTTAGATGTGTATAAATGCATTTTTTTAAGTATTCAAAGTGAAAGTGGCTCAGCAGCAACAACCATGGAATCAAAGAGCTCCCCTTCCAACGAGTACTTCTGCTTTGTCAAAGCTGACATACCTTCCTGTCGCGGCCTCAGATGTTTATTTCACTTTAACCTGTTTGCCTTTGAGAATGCAAAACCTATTAAATGATAAAGTGAGGCTGACAATCAAACGGCGCTGCTCATCATCACGGCCTTCCTTCCTATTTTTGGCCTGCACTCACTCTCCCATGGCAGGCAGGCAGGTGAGGAAGTGTTGGCTTTAGCGGAGGATCAACAGGATTAGAGAGCATTTACCCAGATTTCCCAGACAGACGCGATGGGATTCCAGCCTCCTCTAAGTCTCCGGCAGCTCAGGCACACACAGGGTGGCACATGACTGCCGCTCTAATAACACGAGTTTGTCTGTTGACATTCCCCCTCTTTTCTCCGCCATGGTCATGAACTGCAAACAATCCTCAGAGAGCGTACACAAGTCCACTCGGAGCGCAGCCGCTTAATGCGATTGGCAGGAATATTGCCCCTTGATGTGGCTCTCGGTTTATGAGGATGTTCCATTTCAAACAGTCCGGCCTGGGAACGGCGTCGGCTGGCGTTCGGTGGGCTTTGGGCACATGAGAGCGTGACCCTATTTGTGCTTTCTGGAATATTAATTAATCTGGCAAATGAGCACCAGGCAGCTTTCTTTTTTGTGTTTGTGTAGCTGCCTGTGACTGCGATTGCTGTCGCGTGCGTTTCCAATTAGATTGAGTCGGCTGATATTGTGGTAAACAAATGCTGGAACAATGAATACACTGATTTCTGTCGGGCTGGGCTTTATTAGAACAGTAATGTGATCTAAATGTGAAAGACCCCCTCTGATGAACACTCTGTTCTTTTTTTGCCTTTTTTAACCTCGTTAGCGTGTTCATATGCTGTTGTTTATATTCTATCATGAGCAAATTAAGCAGTCAACACTACAACCGAGTATCTCCACCTTGAAAGACTTCCAGGTTCATATTTAACAAACCCAACAAAAGAAAAATCCCAGTGAGCCCACAGGATGGGACTTTCTGTGTTTTTCTTCAGGATCAGTTTCTAGTTGAAGTAAAGGGGTGAAAAAGAAGGAAGGACTTTATTGAGCTGCAGATTCTAAATCAAGAAGCAGTGTAAAGTACCGTATAAGCCACAATAAGGGCATTATTTCCATGAAAAACCTTCTAAATATGTAGCTTTGACACATAAAGATGGGTTTTTAGGGGTTTAATCAATGACTGGGGAGCTAACACGCTCACACTGCTCATGTACTAATATTTAGCAGGTATAATATTTATCTCTCATAGTCGACACCGTCTTTGTTTGGTACATTACTGTGACAACAGTCGCTAAATCAGACTAAACTATGAATACACCAGAACTAGAGACACCGTCTTTCTTATTTCATGCATCATTGCGTGTAAAAATTTGGTGATTAAGGTGGTTTGGGTTCAAATGAGACTCTCTCTAGAGCCAGAAAATGAGCTTCCCACATGTATACACCCCAAGAACTGGAGTCACACTTATGCATACGGTTTAAGATGCACTTTGACGCTAGAATGCAAGACTTTTGCATATAAATTAACGTCTGTTAGATTCAAGACACTAATTAAGCCCATCCGTGGCAGGTAACCCTCACTGTATTTGGCAGTATACCAGAGTTTTAATCTGGTATATGTGGTGACATGCGTTTTCTGTCAACCAGCAATGACTGGTTTGCCAGAGTTGAAGAGGGGAGCAATGGAGATAAAGAAGGAAGGAGCTTTTGGTGGAAAAACCTACAAAATAAACGTTTGAAGCTCTAGAGGAGCAGAGTTCTACACTGTAGGTTTAAGATACAAGACTCACGTTGGTATAAATCACTGGATGAAACTTTGATATAGCGCTGAAATGAAAAGTCATGGATCACCAAAGTTGCTGGGATTCATCCACTGAAGCTCACAGATATCTGCACCAAATTTAATTCCATTCGTTGAGATATTTCAATTGTGAAGGGCCACCGTTACCTTCGAAGCCACGCCACTTGCCAAAAGCAGAATTTGGGAACGAATCTAACATCCAGCTCCAGGAATAGCCCTTAAAACAAACCCTGGTCTCCACCAACTGTGACAAACTCTGGCATATTACAGTAAATCTCACTGTCCAAATGATGTCAAATTTGCTGCTAAAGTTTATAAGGTGCTGGCAGTCTTGTAAACGGATCCGGGGAGAGTTATGTTCTTCGGGTTCTCTTCTCTTCCTGCTTTTATTTGGGGCAAAACGACCTCTTATAACTGCTTTGTTAAAGGTTACATCACGCTTTCACAGAAGATCCTCATATTTCACTGCTTCTTTTCTGCATCGAATGCAAAGGGGGGGAAAGGAGGAGGAGGTTTGTGAACTTAAGCACCGGAGCGTGAACAAACCTGAAAGGTGTTTAGAAGTGAAAAGACAGATACAGTACACAATAGCTGTTGCCTTGTAAAGCAGACAAATTTGAAGCAACACAGAAGTGTGCGTGCTCAAGCAGGATCCATGTGCATGTGCTTGTTCTCATTCAACGCCTCCTGAACTGATAAGACAAGTCTAGAGTGAGGAAGAACCCTTTGACCTGATCTCCTCCTTCCTTATTTCGCGGTATTCTTTACTGCCTCCCCATTCTGAGCTCCACGTATAGAGATGACCCCCCAGCTGAAGGCAGGCTGGGGACGGACTTTTTACATATGTAAATGTGGGCTCTTAGAAGGGGGAGGATGCAGGGTGAAAGGTGATGGTCATGGTTGAGTGCTTTAGGAAGTCGAGGGATCATTACATTGGAGATGGAGGGGGTTGGTTCCCATTCAACGGACACCCACCACAAACAAATCGCATGAGCAGGGATGACACTCCCCACCAACACCACACAAAACTCTTATCCACACAATGGGCCCCCTCA